AGATTAATTTTTTTCCGGCTATTTTTTTCCAGGTTTATGTTTCCGGATTTGTTTTTTCCGAATTCCTTGACAATACCGATTTCGAAGAACTTCTGCCGAAAAGTTACTCGTTCTACGAGTTCCTTGATAGTTTTGAATAAATCCTACCGAACTTGCGATTACTGTACGAAGCTATTGATATTTCCACAGAAGTGTTTCTGAACTATTGATAGTTTTGCAAAGCTATTAAGAAATCATGAGTAAGCTCACGAAAACCTTGGGCGATTTTGCTAGAAATCTGGACAACCCTAAGCCAAAGTACGATGTTAATGATGGTTCTGCAGAAGTTATGCACAACGTCTTTGTAGTACATCAAATTATGTGAGGGTGTGGGTGCGTGAGTCAACCTGTCTGCGACGCGTTTCGAATAGGGCTTATTCCAATTATCTTTAGGTAGGTTTCAGTTTTGATTTGACATCCTCAGTCTTTCTATACGTTGTGTCTCTTATGATATATAGTTGGAAATGCTATGCAGGCTTTTGTGCTTTGTTATATAGACGAAGTTCTGAGTACACTTTTTGTTCAAGATATGGGTTGAATATGAATGTTTGAGATGTGTGAAAAAGTTCATGCCGAAGTGAATAGTTTATTTGAAATAATATATACAGAAAAGTCTACGATGCTTGAAATGTAGGTCTGGCGTGGAGTGAACGTCTCGACTGGTTGTCACGGTTGTTTCGGCTGATGTTTAATGTGTTGATGATGTATTAACTCTCTTGCTAACGTTCTATTGTTTCTGTTGCCAACGATTAGTCTTGTGTAAATGATTGGTGTTGAGCGATGTGTTTCATTCCAAAGTCGGTGTAGATCTCGTTTGTATGTTTGGAACCGTTGCTCATGAGTGTAATGAATTATGAGTTGATTGTCCTATTTCGAACATTTTGTGGATCTGGTTTTTGGTACATCTGTTTTTACTGATTCAGGATCAGAAGTAACATTATCGCTTTCGATTCTGGACGCCATTCGGTATTGTGGAATAGTTGGAATGTTGAGCATTTTGTGTCGGATCGCTCTGAATTCATTTTCATCATGTATGAATGGTTGGACGTTTGAAGTTTTTGGCATAAGTGGTGATGAAATTGTGGAATCTGCTGTAGATAAACCGTGGTGCATAGCTAGAAGATATCAGATAAACCGAATTGTGAACATTTAGAAATAGATCGAATTACTTGTTGTAAAGAAGCCTTAGTTTGATTGTACGTTGTTCTTTTTGAAAAGTTGACAGTGTAGATGAATAGCGTACAGTACGCAAAAGTGCTGTGTCAATGGCATTTCTGACGGTATGATGAGGATGATCAGAATTAAAAGGCACTGTGTATGGTTCGGCTGCTTCTTTGTGATACACAGATGTTTTCGATGTACCATGATAATTTTCAATGAGCACATCTAAGAATGATACATTCTTACCAATTTGCCGAACTAATTTGATATTTGGATGGAAATCTTTGGCGTGATCTAACATTTCATTGATTTTGTTCAGTGGTTGATTCGAAGTAAAGAAGATATCATCGACATATCTATAAAAGATAAATAGAGTATATTGAGACAATAGCGCTTTTCCTAAGATACTGAACATGCCTTCCATAGATTTCGTTTGTATCTAACAGCTGTTGAACTAATCGTTTTTCCCATTTCCATAAGAAAACATTGGCTAAAGTCAAAGTAAATGCGGAGCCCATAGCACCGTCGATCACTTGTCGATAGAATCTTTTCTCATAAGTGAATACGTTTTCTGTGAGAACGAGACGAGCTAATTTCCGAATGGCATCAATGGGCACTGCATTTGCTTTGGTATATCCATGTTCTAGAAGAAATTCAGTTAGAATATCGAGAGATTCTTCCTGTGGTAACATTGTATATAAATTTGTGATGTCAAATGTGCACAAATAGGTTGTTGGCATATGCATTGAGGATACAATCGGTCTTAGTGGTGTTCCTTCCTGTGAATACAAACGGAATTTAGATTGATAGGAAAGAAAGAACTTTCAAAAATTACCTTATGTGGTTTTGGAACAAAATACAGATAAACTAGTTGATTGTTCTCTCGTTTCGGCATCATTTTATCAAATTGACTGCTTTGTCAAAAACTACACATAGGAGATCATTTTCTATTTCGATATACGTCTTCGTTTTTTCGCGATAAACTTCTGCTTTTTTTTTCGTAATCGTTGGCGTCACCAATATGGAATATGCCACTTTTGTCCGTTACACGAAGCATTTGATTGCTTTCCTTTCTTGTCGAGCAAGATAAGCATGAAGATAAGAGATTGGAGCCATGTACTGTTCACATAGATAAGTAGCCAATTGATGGGAGAATCGACTGATGATTGTTGATGTTGGCGACATATGATAGACACGCACGAGATAGGGAACGATTACGTCAAGAGTTTTGTTAAATTTTCGATCGACTTGTTTCTGTTGTTGTTGATCGCAATGAAGATAACTTTGGTTCGGTCGAATGTAACTGGGACCTTTGCAGAGGAGAAGAAAAACTGGCGGTGCAACTGATGGCATCAAAGGTCTGTCTCCATTACTTCAAGTTTTCGAATACCCGAAACAAATAGTATTTGATTACATGCATTTATGCTGCTTGGGACATATGTTCACCTTAATACAACGATGGAAAACAATGCTAAGCCCTGACGCATTCATCGAAATTAATAAGAAAATATTTGCTCAAAAATTTCCTCATAATATGAGTGTTAAGTTTAATTATCCATTGAACTCATCTGAAGAATGGAAGGTAAAGCATTTTCGAGTATTTGTGTTATCCATCGGTCTTCCATATATGTTATCATATTTACCACCACTCGTTGCATCTCATTATGCTTTGTAATCTATGTTTGTTAAATTACTACACTCTCCGAAATCGAATCCTGAAATTGAACTGGCGGACAAAACTATTCATTATTATTGTCGAACAGCACTCGATGTATATGGAGAAACAATCGGAACTGTTCTCACTTCATGCTCATTTACACTTACCACAACAAGTTTTAACACATGGTTGACTCTCGTTTACATCTGCATTTTGCTTTGAAAGTATGATTCGATTTTTGAAGAAGAAAGCACATGGAACGCGAAATCTCGTTACTCAAATTGCTGATTTGATCAATACTGCAACTGCTGTTGAACGACCATCTATTGAACTATCAATTCCAACGGGTATGAACAGTGTTGGTATCAACAGTTCCATCTTTGATAAATATCGATTGGACTTTGTAAACGTCTTGCACACACTAACTCAAAATGAAATGGATGTTGTGCTATTCTTACGATACAAAGACGTATTTGTTACTTTTCATACGGTTTTATATGACGCGCCATACAATTGCTGCAGTTATATTGTCTCTTACAACTCTAAAAGTACTCACACTGAATATGGTCAAGTTATTGTTTTTTTCAAATACCGCGAAGATTACTACGCGTTTATCTGAAAATACGAGTCGCCAAAAGCAAACACGTCCGATTATCTTTCTATACCTAGAGAACTTAATGAAAAATTAAATGAACTTTTCCTCTTCGAACATTGAGTACATCGTGCACTTTCATACCTATTGGTGATATTTGTCACAAGTGTATTCAAATCGAGTGCCGTGAACATGTATTTTTATCGGAGGGTGAGGGTGTGGGTGTGCTTTTGTTGCAAACAACCACAAAGTTTATTAGTAAAGATTTGCAGGGGAAAGGTTAGCAAGCTCAAATAATAACCTTTCAACACTTGAACGCACTCTATCAGATCGTGTTTCACAAAAGTACAAAAGAGAACGCGCCAGTGTGAATGATCTCTTATTAATTGATATGAATATTAAACTTATTTTTAATCGTATTCTTCTCGTCGATGATGATGATGATGATGATGTTCGGGTCTGGGTTCATCATCTTCTCTTCCCCATTGTTGTTGACCCTGATTTCCATAATTATTTCTTCCATTATCTTGATAATCACTATTACTACCTCCATAATCTTGATTGAAATCATTCTGCCATCTTCCTTGACCTTGACCATCATTCTGCCATCCACCTTGATTGTAATTTTGTTGTTGATAATTATTGAAATCATCACCTTGATAAACTTGTCCTGATCCATATTTATCATTAGCCAATTTATAAGCTTGTTCAGTAGCCATTCTCTTGGCCCTTTCGCGATCTAAGTAATCGATACCTTTTGTCTCGAAAAGTTTATCAACTTCGGCAGCAGCAAATCCAGCAAGTATTTCTTTCATCATCGGATGACTAATCTGTTCACCTGAACGACGACAACGATCTTCATATGCTTTTAATGCTGAAATAAAAAAAAATGTATAGAAATATTTTCAGTGTTATAATTCACCTTCAAAACCAGCAGCAGCTGCAATCATTTCGTGTGTAAACGATCCTTTATGTTCTCGTTGATCATAATCATTCGAGTAGTCTTCATACATTTGTCGATGGGCATTTTGAGCCTCATGATGACCGAATAAGTTTTCGAAGAACGACATTGCTCAGTTTAGTTTGATGAATATTGTAACTGTTTTCATCTTTTATATAGTACGTAAAAAGTACAAAATATATTATGAATCACACACATTTGAGGGTAGCATGATTTATTTTTCACTGTTAGTTGAAGGGCGCTTTGGAAGGAAGAAAATGAAATATTTACATTCGTGAGTGTTTTACTTATTGAAAAGAAGAAATGAAATGCATTTAGCATAGTTTAGGTATATGTACAATGTTTCTGCTTTGAGAAAATCAATTGATAAAAGCGTATCATTAGACAAATAAAGGAAATTCTCCTAAAAATGATTATTGCTTCTTAAACTTATTATTTGATCAACTGATGCGTCTTCGATACTTTTTATTGGATTCATTGTGATTATATACAAATCATTTTTAGAATCAATTATACATAGAAGACACGAGGAGTGAAAGGACGTACTTTTACGGTTCTATTTATGTCGCAAAGAAAACAAAACATGATGCTGATAAAGGACATTGGGGTGAATGTATTGTAAATATAAGCTGACGCTGATTCATCTCATCACTCTTGTATAAACCATGCAATCAGTGTTAGCAAAACTAGCAGATGCTTTAGATTGAGCGAGAATGGGTGTGGCTTCTACTGTGTTTCCTATATTTCCGCCCTTTTCTGCATGAGTTGCCTAATTCGACTTATATTATAAGTCGATCCCCGACAGGCTAGTATCAATTCGAATATAAATAGATATCTATATAACCCTTATAACAAATGACTAGATAGGAATAGAAATAGATTTAGTTTTACTTATGTATATATACACCCACACCCTCACTTATATCTATCTCGATTGAGGGTGCCGCGGTGGGTGTGGACACGAATATATCTCGAGGGTAAGAGTAGGTGTGGGGGTACATATGCATAAGTAAAACTAAATCTATTTCTATTCCCAAGGGTGCTAGGAATTGGTCGACTTATATTATAAGTCGAATTAGGCAGCTACTCACGGAAAATCGTAATGTGCAGATGTCATTTTTTTTAAAACTCACTGCATTTAAATACATATTTTCAAAATTGTTGACTGGAATAAAAATTCTCCTGGCTTAGTGAACTGTGAACTTTGATCTGTGAGTGCGTTAACTTCTATTGTTTGCTTGCGTTGTGAACTAGAAAGACATAAAAAAATCTCCGAAGCTCATTTATTACTTCTTGTGCGGTATATTACGAGAAAGAAGTGTACTCAGGTGGATATTTACAATACCTTTTATTTATATGAGAATAGAAGCACTTGGAAAACGATTGTATTAAGTTTTTGTTTTCAGTTTTCCACAAATTGTCTTATCGTCTATATACCAGATGGTTCAGAGGACAAAAGCCAACTTCCGCTTTTAATTTTTTCAGCTAGCTTTCATAATTTGCTTTAGTTCTTTTAGGCACAAGATGCGTCATCAAATTCTCTGAATGATATATTTTATCAAACTTCATCTGTTATCATTGTCTGACACATGCTAATACAATCATTTGAACAAAATATAACAACTATATAAACTTGTCTCGGATTCAAAAATGTTCATGGTGATGCTGCCGCTGTCGCAGATGCAGCGCAACAGCTTCAGTAGAACGGGCAGATTGAGAAACTCGTGATTTCACACAAAATCTTCATTCAAAAGACTTGTAGGTTGCAAAACTTGGTAAATTTAATTGTTTAAAGACATTAGGTTTAGTTCAAACCTATCGAAGATCACAAGATCCAGAGACTTTCAAAGTCATCGTCGCAGCAGAGGCGCCGTTGGAACTTTTTAAATACCCTCGAGGCGCGGTAGGGGCACATATTCAGCCGCGATGAACATCGCTGTTCGGATTCAACATTTCTATTGACCATTGTTTTCTTCGTTGGATATTAATTTTCGTTTGACATAGCTCCACGATTCTCTTCAGCCAAATAGGTCTAGACAGGGGCGTTCCAATAAATTAGAACTAATCAAGACTGAATTAACGTCGGACGAGGAAAAATGACTATTAGATACGTTAAGTTCGAGACGAATTTAGATAGCTGTTATATTTTGTTCAAATGATTGTGTTAGCATGTGTCAGACAATGATAACAGATGAAGTTTGATAAAATATATCATTCAGAGAATTTGATGACGCATCTTGTGCCCAAAAAAACTAAAGCAAATTATGAAAACTAGATGAAAAAATTAAAAGCGGAAGTTGGCTTTTGTCCTCTGAACGATCCGTCAAATGGCATCTTTTCCGTCCATTGTACAGACTGACTACACAAAACTGTTCCTGTTTTCCTTTGTTTTTTTTTGTGTACTCAAAAAGTGAGTACACTACTAAAATCGGTCTGTATGTCCGGCCGTTTATCCTATAACTCTCGAAAAGTCTGGACAATTGACCGGAATTTTTCTTGTGTAGGTTTGTCTCATGGATATCTCGATCGAATTCAAAGATGAGAAGGATCGGCCAAGAAATGGCTGAGATATCGTTAAAACTCTAAAAAATAGCCCCACAAGCCCTGAAGGGCAGTACAGGGATTTTCAAAAAATCATTTTTTTCCTACCATATGCATTGCTATAGTACGTTTCATGAGAGCAACCACGTGCTGAAATACTGTCTCATAGAGGCGCCCCTGGGTCCTCATGTCCTATATAGTGGGGGTATCTATGGATTCTTTTCCGCTATAGTATGTGTATAGTTTAAGTCCTGCAGTTTTACACTGATAGCATTCTTGTGTTTTGTCAATTTTGTTTGAATTCTGTCTAAAGGTCCTGAAATTTTCGCCAATTAGTGTTACAGCAATATCTCGTTTGGGTTCGTAAGTTCTAGCTGCTGAAACTTGTGTTTAATGATTCGTTGAAAAATGCTCATATCAGATATAGACTTTTCTGTAGGATAATTCTCATATACTTTTTAGAATACACATAACTTTCGGATAAAATCCAAAGTTTCCGCATTTATTTTATTTCAAATGGGTAATATATTCTCAACGCTTTCGGCTTCAGTCAACGATGGACCATTTATTTTGCGACGAGATTTACAGCCGAATGATGCAGTTAAAAATTTGGAAAACGTCGCCTTAATATGGCTCGATAGTTACAACAATATTTCCTCTCCTAACACTGAAACAACATTGTCATTATTACAGGTGTACACTAATTTTGTTGTAACGTATACAGACCCACAGTTATGCGTTGACTATATTAAATATATTGAAAAAGAAAAAGTTGTATTAGTTGTATCTGGTGCACTCTGCAGGAACGTATTACCAGACATCTGTCATCTGCCCGCTGTTGATTCCGTATTGATTTATTGTAAAAATCGCCAATTGCATGAACAGTTACGCCTAGATTATGCACCGAAAGTAGCCAATATCGTTACTGACCACGAAACATTAGAAAAAGCACTGAATCAGCAATTTGTTTTGTTATGGAAACAAGCAATGGTATATTCGTTTTTTAATGAACAACAAAAATCAACAAAGGAATTAACAAAAGATGCCGCTGCTTTTCTTTGGGCGCAAATGATGCTCGCCATTTTAAAACAACTACCACAAACTGCAGATTCTAAAAAACAACTTTTGAACAAGTGTCGCGATTATTATCGTGGTAACCCAGGGGAGTTAGCAGTGATCGACGAATTTCAAAAAGATTATCAAGCCAGAGATGCTGTTGCTTGGTATACAAAAGAATGTTTTATTTATCGTCTTCTAAATAAGGCTCTCAGAACTGAAAACATCGATGCACTCTATCTTTTTCGATTCTATATCATAGATTTGTGCAAGCAACTGGAGGAAGAAAGTCAAAAGAATCGGGGCGTCATGACACTTTATCGTGGTCAGGTGATGTCCACTGAAGAATTGGATCGATTAAAACGAAATGTAGGAACATTATTTTCAATGAATGGTTTTTTTTCAACAACACGCACACTCAATGTCGCTAAAAATTTTCTGGAGAGTTCAAGACGCGACGGACTTCAACCGGTTCTGTTCGAAATCACCGCTGATTCCAATATAAGACATGTTGTGTTTGCGGATATCGAACAACTTAGTAATATCGATGGTGAAGATGAAGTATTGTTCAGCATTGGCTCTGTATTTAAAATTGAAAGTGTTGAAGCTGATGAAACATTAAACTGTTCAGTTGTAAAAATGGTGACCAGCGATGAAGGAACGATAAGCGTTCATGAATATATCGAAACTTTGAAAAAGGAATACGAAGGTCTTACTAATGTCATTCTGTTTGGTCGTCTTTTGACACAAATGGGAGAATATAATAAGGCCGAAGATTACTTCAATTTTTTACTGCAAAATACACGAACGGACTCTCTTGAAGAGGCGGACATTCGAGATGAAATTGGACACATTTTTAATAATAGATCCCAAACAGTTTTGGCAATGGAACATTACAAGCGATCACTTGAAATTCGAGAGAAATGGGTGCCACACGACGACTTTCGTATAGGAAGGTCTTCGAATAACCAAGCATCAATATTTGCCAAAACGAATGAGAATGAGAAAGCTCTTCTGTTTTATTTGAAAGCCTATGCAATTAGTGTGAAAAATCATCCACAGGGCCATTTAGATACCGCGACCGTGTTATCAAATATAGCTGATGTTTATGTTAGCATTAAAGATTTCGTAACTGGTATGGATTTTCATATTCAATCACTTGACATGCGACTCAGTCTATTACCTAAAGAACATTCGACGACTGCATTAAGTATTCGAAAAATAGGTACAGTCTTTTATCAAGAAAAAGACTATGATCGTGCTCGTCAACAGTACAATTTTGCATTGAACATTTATCAGAAAACCCTGCCGGTTGGTCACCCATCTATGAATGCATTGTATTCGGAGATTGTGAATGTGCACATGGCAAAACAAGAACATACGATAGCATTCACTTTTTGTGAAGAAAAATTAGATGAACTACGTCAAACTGTTGGAGAAACTCATGTAAGTGTTGGTAAGATTCTATATCTTAAGGGAACAATTTATCAAGATGAAAATCAAGATGATGAAGCTCTTATACAATACGAATATGCATTGAAAATATATGAAAAATGTATTCCACCAGAGCAAGAGCATGTGAAATCTTGTTGCAACAACATTGCACAAATAAACTATCGAAAGAATAATTTTATAGAAGCCTTAGAATTGTATAAAAAAGCGTTGGAAATTGCTCGCAAAATCTATTTACCCGTACATCCAGAAATTGCTAATATGCTAATGAATATTGGTTCAATTTATTTAAAAATTGAGAATTATGAAGAATCAATAAGCCATTTAAAAGATGCATTGGGAATATTTCATAAGAAACTTATTCCTGTACAAATAGAAATGCAAACTACCCAAGCACTAATCAACGAAGCACGCATTCTTAGTATTAATAAAAAATGTTTTGACCAATAAACATTCATAATAGGTCGTCGAAACTAAACAAAACATTGCTATTTTGCGTTCTTTATTTTCATTGTACAATAAGAGTACATTCATACATCACAAATAAAAACATATAATTGTTAAAACACCAATGCTTCATTTGTTGAACGATCGTTCCTCACCTTCGATATCTCCTGGTAAAACACATTAAAGACTTCTTTTTTCTTTCTTTTCCTTTACTAATACTGGGGTTATAATTTCTTCGTGTCTTCTAAAATAACGTATGAACAGTGACGTAACCAGAGGGAGGCAAATGGGTAATTGCCCATCAAACTTCCAGTCTTTTCAAATTTTTACTCTGGTCAACTTTCCTTTGGCATGGATATGAAAATGTTGAATTTCTTAAACTAGAACGCGACGCACCAATGACATATTTCGAGACCTATACAGATCAATAATAAGTGAAAAACGTTCGTTCACGGCATATTTGGTACTGGCTTAGTTGGTTTCCTTCAGTCTTTCTATTTTATTTCAATCTTTTCTTGAGTTAAAAATCTATTACCCACTGAGAAAAACTTTGCCTCTTGAGGGTGTGTGAGGGTGATGGTGAGTTTAACAAGAAAGAAATATTCCTAAGGTATCTATGACGCGTTTCGTCCTTGCTTAAGGGACTCATCAGGTAAGAATGGCACTGTTTTATTAAAGGAAAAGAAGAATTAACAATAAGAGTAAAATGTAAGAATTACTAATAGCTAAGAAGTTTTCGGCGAGGCGTGTAATAGATCATGTTGTTGCAGTAAGTATGCGTTGCATATAAGTAATGGACTATTTTCTGTGTAAGCATGTAAGGTTAATGACACTTTAATCTCAAAAGTATTGATAGTGACAGGAATAAGTGAGAAAACACGATTGCTGAGAAGATTATGCTATGTGAAGTGTGTTTAGATAAGAGAGAGTGGTCAGAAGAAGAGATGTACTCGCTTGGCAGAAAGATGACCGTATTCAGTCAGATCGCTCTGGCCAGAAGGACTTCTATCGCCACTGGGCAATACCTTCTTCATAGCATTTTGATATAGATAGCTATTTCAAAACCAGCGATTAGGAAGAATTAAAGATTTGAAAAAAGAATCTGGACACTACTCGGAGTGCAATTTTATGCTTAATTTTGGTTTGTAGAAGATCCTCAAAGAAGAGAAAGGGTAGTGTCCAAAAAACAAAAGCCCTAAGTAAAGCATAAACGTACCCAAGTTGAATCGAAGTTGTAGAAGAGTGGTTGTGGCGATAACTGTTGTGTTAAATGAATAAATGAATAGACTCGGAAGAAAACATCGATTTATATAGTAAGGGTGAGGACACCAGGAACAATAGGGCACTATGGACACTAGAACATATAAAACATCGGAGCATCAAAGACATTAGGGCATTAAAGACATGAAAATAGATAAGACATTAAGAACACTGAAGACACTATAACACGAAGAACAATAAAGACACTGAAAACAACGAGGACATCGAAGACACGAGAATACTGAAAACACCAGAACACCGAAGACACTACACAAAAACGATCTATAGAGTGATCTGTCGACTTACCCGATTGATGATAATGTTGCTCTATTGTAAAGGGTATTTTATTACAATAATTCTCGAATGCTTGTTGTTGAAGTGTTTCTATGAAAGCAAGAATATGCATACGACATGTCTGTTCTTTTAAAGAAATGCCTATTAGCTTCACATGTAGATGAATCTATTCATATAAAACAAACAAAAGATGTTCTATATGAAATTTCAACTACACGTCAAAAGCTACTTTGACGCAAATATCTCAATCATTGAATTGGACTAGAAGATAGATACATCTGTGTCTTCGTCGTCTAAGATCAAATGTATCGCGTTATGCTAGTGATATTTTCCTACCTGAAAATCTAGAGACGATGCAGGGACAAATTGCTTGATAGAAGCCAAATTGTACACATTTCTTCTTACATGTGAGACATTNATCATCTGCTTGATTTTGTTGCTGATATTGCTGTTGATGATTACGACGTTGACGACGTCTGTGTGCTGCTGTAGTAGTTCTTTGACGTTGACCATTATTTGTTCGTTGTTGTTGTTGTTGTTGTTGTTGATTTGCACCGTCTCCCTGATCACTGATGGCAAATGGTTGAGTAGTATCAGTACTACTAGCTGCTGTTGATGCAAAACGTTGACGTTGTAGTAATGCACCAGCAGGTGTAACATCTGCAGTAGTAGTAGTAGTAGTAGCCAAGTTGAAATTTGAAGCAAGATATTGTGCATTTGGTGAATTATCTCGAAATTCTGATGGCATAAAATCATTTAATCGTAGAGGTCGCGGAATGCGTCGTCACCCAGATCGACTTCTTCTTGGAGTAGAACCATTTGAACGACTTCTTGGTCGGTTCTGTTCTGATTAAATTGCCAGTTTCGATTATACTGTCGATTTTGATTAAATCGTCGGTTTGGTAAAAATGGTCTACTGATCATCATGCCATCATTGTTATAATCAACATTATTAAAGTAAGGCTGTTGTTGTATGAGATTTCGATTGAAGAAAGAATTTGTTTGACGACGAGGACGATTATTATAATTTCTTGAGGGTGTGAGTCAAGCATTCTACGACGCGTTTCGACTAGGCTTAGTAGTCTCATTAGGTAGTTTCGACTTTGTATCTGACACCGTCAGTTTCTCTATGCGTTGTGTGTATGTGGAGTAGTCAGAAATGGTATGTAGTATCGTGTAATTTGTTATAGGTGAAGTTCTGAATGTACGTTTTGTTCAAGATATGGGTTGTGTGTGAATGTTTGAGATATGTGAAAAAGTTCATATCGAAATGAGTAGTTTATTAGAAATAATATGTACAGAAAAGTCTACGATGCTTCAAATGTAGGTCTGGCGTGTAGTCAATGTCTCGGCTGGCTGTCACGGTTGTTTCGGCTGTTGTTTAATGTGTCGATGATGTACTAACTCTCGTGCTAATGTTCTATTGTTTCTATTACCATCGATTAGTCTTGTGTGAATGATTGGTGTTGATCGATATGTTTCATTCCAAAGTCGGTGTAGATCTCGTTTGTAGTTTTGTAACCGTTGCTCGTGAGTGTAATGAATTATGAGTTGATTGTTCCATTTCGAAGATTTTGTTGATTTCGTTTTGGGTACACCAGTTTTCACTGACTCATGATCAGGAGTAGCTTTACCTCCTTCGATTCTGGACGCCATTCGATATTCTGGAATAGTTGGAATGTTGAGCATTTTCTGTCGGATCGCTCTGAACTGGTTTTCGTCATGTATGAATGGCTGGATGTTTGAAGCTTTGGCATAGGAAGTGATGAAATTGTGGAATCTACTGTAGATAAACCGTGGTGCATAGTTAGAAGATATCGAATAAACCGGACTGTGAACATATAGAAATAAATCGAATTACTTCATGTAAAGAAGCATTAGTTAGATTGTACGTTGTTCTTTTTGAAAAGTTGATAGTGTAGATGAATAGCGTACAGCACGCAAAAGTGCTGTGCCAATGGCATTTCTGAAGGTATGATGAGGATGATCAGAATTAAATGGTACTGTGTATGGCTCGGCTGCTTCTTTGTGATACACAGATGTTCTCAATGTACCATGATCATTTTCAATAAGCATATCTAAGAATGATACATTCTTACCAATTTGTCGAACTAATTTGATATTTTGATGGAAATCGTTGGCATCATCTAACATTTCATTGATTTTGTTCAGTAGTTGATCCGAAGTAAAGAAGATATCATCGATATACCTATGAAAGGTAAATAGAGGACATTGAAACAATAGCGCTTTTCCTAAGATACTGAACATGCCTTCCATAGATTTCGTTTGTATTTAGCTGCTGCTGAACTAATCGTTTTTCCCATTTCCATAAGAAAACATTGGCTAAGGTCGAAGTAAATGCGGAGCCCATAGCACCGCCGACCACCTGTCGATAGAATCTTTTCTCATAAGTGAATACATTTTCTGTGAGAACGAGACGAGCTAATTTCCGAATGGCGTCAATGGACACTGCATTCACTTTGGTATATCCATGTTCTAGAAGAAATTCAGTTAGAATGTCGAGAGATTCTTCCTGTGGTAACATTGTATATAAATCTGTGATGTCAAATGTGCACAAATAGGTTGTTGGCTTCAAATATCCATTTGTAGTGTACGCTTGAAGTCGTCGAATGAGATCAACACCATCGATAATTGTAGTTGAGCGAACATGTTTATCAAATAACGGTCGAAGGAGTCGATCAAGAAACTTGGAAATGCCAGTTGTTGGTATATGCATTGAGGACACAATCGGTCTTAAGGGTGTTCCTTCCTGTGAATACAAACGGAATTTAGATTGATAGGAAAGAAAGAACTTTCAAAAATTACCTTATGTGGTTTTGGAACAAAATACAGATAAGCTAGTTGAGCGTTCTCTCGTTTCGGCATCATTTTATCAAATTGCCATGCAAGAATATGCTTTTTCGAACGAAGATCATTGAGCAAATTGACTGTCTTGTCAAAAACTATGCATAGAGGATCATTTTCTAGTTCGATATACGCCTTCGTTTTTTCTCGATAAGCTTCTTCTTTTTGTTCATAATCGTTGGCGTCACCAATATGGAATGTGCTACTTTTATCCGTTACACGAAGAACTTGATTGCTTTTCTTTCTAGTCTGGAGCCATGTACTGTTCACACAGATAAGGAGCCAATTGATGGGAGAATCGACTGATGATTGTTGATGCTGGCGACATATGATAGACACGCACGAGATAGGGAACGATTACGTCAAGAGTTTTGTTAAATTCTCGATCGACTTGTTTCTGTTGTTGTTGATCGCAATGAAGATACTCTGTAAAAAAAAACCGGGTTATAAGGAACTATCTAAGGTTCTAGCATAGATTCAGAACCTTTTAAGGTTTCATTCGTTTAACAATAAACCATCAAAAGGTTTTAGACAATTTAAAAAACTATTTAAGAAAACCAAATGGTTTGGTACACCCAAAAGGGTTTTAGTTTGCACTACTTTTCCAAATACGGAACCTTTACAGATAAAAAATGCTTCCAGACACTTGAAAGGGTTCTATATTGCACCATATTTTTTTCATCCAGAACCACGACTCATACGAAATGGTTCAATAAATTTGAAATGGTTTTGTCTGACACCCTCGACCTCCATAACGATCGCTGATCGATATGAAAGGGTTCCATAGACGTGAAAAGAGTTCTATACCGAACCATTTTTACCTATAGGGTTGCATCACTAAATTAACATAATGGAAGCCATGAAAAAAAGTTTTTACATTGAACCACCTTCCATTCTAATACTTATCGGTGGGTTAAAATGGTTCTATGTCGAACCCTCACACTCATTGTAAAGATTTAAAGCTGGTAGGAAATGGTTCTATTCAAAACCATTTTGTTTACGTTTTTCTTCGCTTATAAGAAGCTGTTTCAATACGAGTCTCCGACCTTCAGTCCGAACAGAAGTCGTGAGACGAATTCTCCGCGCACTATCCATTTCAAAAATATATATTTCTAAAATCTTTCAAATTGAGCAAGTCTCATAGAACGTGGCACAATCTTCATAACTTCATCAGAGAATTTTTTCAAATTTCATATTATGAGTAGTCTTGAAATTACTATTCATACTACTTAACGTTTTTAGTGCTCAAATTACTATACTAGGTAATTAGAATGAATATCAATCCATATGGCAAAACATGCGCCTTTAAGTTTAATTATACGAGCTANAGCATATATGACGATCATAAATGCTTATGAAGTTTTCTCTGATGGCAAGAGTCCATTGCATAATAGTTTAACTGCAGTACAAACATTATTGGGAGCATTATTACAAGAAAAAGTTATCGATAAAAAGTTATGCAGTAAACTTCTTCCCAAAATGAACAACCTAGAATTGGCTCATTTTCATTTTATACCAAAGCCTCATAAAGTATGTGATATACATTTATTTTCGAGTTCTATTGAGTCTATCAAAGCTGTTTTTAAACATACTAGCCTGGCACTCCATTGAGACCCATTATTGCCTCAATCAATGCACCAACAACGAATATTTCCAAGTTTCTCAATGACCTTTTAACTCCATTGTTTTTGAAAGTAACTCGAGAAACAACATTCACGAACAGTATTGATCTAGTTCGTAAACTGGAAAAGTACGCTATCGATGGTCATCTGATGTCAAAGATCTGTATACTATGATACCACGTACAGGTGCATTACAAGCATTAGCTAGTTTCGTGGAAGAGCTATGGGTTCGGCTTTTACTCAAGTTTTAGCCAACATCTACATGCTCGAATGGGAGCAAGAATTGATAGATCATCAACATGTTCGTCATGAAATGTATGGCATGTATGTCGTTTTTCAAGAAGATTCTTAGAGTCCCAATCAAAGTTCTTTTTTTCTTCTTCTCTCCAAATATATCGATGACATTGTCATGACTACCAATTTATCTATCGAAGAAATAACCAATCTATTAGAGAAAATGCAACACAAAGATCCGAATATTAGTATCAGCTACAAGATCGATTCAGCCATTGATTTTCTTGATGTTGCCATCGAAAACAATCTTGGTCATCTCAAAACGTCCATCTTTCATAAATCATCTGCTGAATCATACATCTTGCCGTATACATCGGATCATCCGCATCATATTCACCGAAATATTCCATATGCTGCATTACTACGAGCTGCTCGATTATGTTCCAATGTACGAGATTTCGACATGGAACGGATCCGAATTGATGTATCATTGTTGTTAAATGATTATCCTTTCGATTTTATTTCAGAACATTTCCAACGATTTTTTTATATAAGTAACGCTCAGAAGGTTGTCATACAATCGGATCAAGAAACCTATTCTCAATTACATCATCGATTACTTCATCAGCTTTCACAACGTGAGAAACAATTGCAATCAATGATGCAAAATTATGATCAAGTACCCGGCGCTCTCGTAGTGAAACCATGGAATACTAAACTGATGTATCCAAATTTATCTTCGAAAGTGGCCCAACACGCAATCTTCAACCAGCATTTTACAAATGGTGGACAAAATGGTACAAATATCCAGGTTCAATTGTAGGCGATGTCAAAGTCACATCATGCATTCGTACAAATCCCACTCTTGAACGCCTATTTGTACGAAAGAAACCAGCCAAAGAATTGTTAAAAAAACTAAATTGACTGTAATGCGTCGAAACAATCCTTTGTTAAATGTTTCTTTAATTGTAAATAAAAAAAAGCGTTACAAAAGAAAAGTTAATCAAAACACTTTCATTAAACTTATTGACGACTTTTGTTATTTTTTTTTCCAGATTGATTCAAGATATGTTTCATTTCTTACAAGCACTTATTCAAACATGAACAAAATATAGGCATATGTTATCGTTTCTGATATAGTTTGGCACAAATTTGATCGTTCCTAGAATGAAATCTTTTATTATATTTAAACGAAAATGATCGAGAATGTCTCACATGTAAGAAGAAATGTGTACAATTTGGCTTCTATCAAGCAATTTGTCCCTGCATCGTCTCTAGATTTTCAGGTAGGAAAATATCACTAGCATAACGCGATACATTTGATCTTAGACGACGAAGACACAGATGTATCTATCTTCTAGTCCAATTCAATGATTGAGATATTTGCGTCAAAGTAGCTTTTGACGTGTAGTTGAAATTTCATATA